AGCAGGAGTTTCCATTTCATAAAGCCCCCATCTAGGTGTTGACTCATTCTTAATTTAGACAGGTTGACCAGCGTAAGAAGTACCAGATCTTCCATATCAGCAAGGTCCATCCTAGATTTGTAGCTCATTGGCCTTCAGCTTTGGGCACTTAAAAGATGAATTAGTGTCTATGCCATGACTTCAAAAGTAATTACTTTCTCATAGCTTTAAGTATTTTAGCTTCACATATGGCCAAGAACTGTTTGGTTTTTATTTCTGCTATGAACAGAAAGTTAATTTTCTTTCTATTTTTTTTTAGGCTATTCTGGATTTCTGCTGAATGAGTTCCTAGTATTGGCTTGGTGGAGCTGGTGGCTGTGGGATGGATGCCTTGTGGTACCAATGGACAGTGGAAAACCCTTGGGAGGTCAGAGACCTCCTTTTTGAAGCTGGCACAGTCTGCGATTGGCTTCAGTGTGACTTTACAATTAAGTTCTTCCCACATGGTTTCAACCACTCACCTTAATTGGGAAATCAATGTGCCTATTGTTCAGCATTTATCCTCATTGAAATCACAGCATGATTAATTTGTTAATGTATTTACAGAGCTGTCGGTTGGTGTGTGTCTCAAAAAGATTCCACGCTAACCTGAATCTTTAGAGACTACATGATTTTACATTAATTCTCTGATTTTATTGAACAAAATACAATTTTCTTCCCATTTCAGTGGCTTTGTTTTTCTTCGACTGATTTGTCCTGCTATCCTGAACCCGAGGATGTTTAATATCATCTCAGGTGACTATATGCTTCAGAATGAATTCATATCTTATAGAGTAGTAGGCATGAAATTACTGTAGTGTCTAATTTAGAAAAATAACGGAGCTTTTTGAATGCCGTGTCCAAAGTCATGTTATCCACGTCACTTGACTGACCTCTCCATAAAGCAACCAGCTTTTCACCTTCAAAGGTTACATTGTGGTTACCCCAATGGGATTTTTTTGCTTTAAAGTCCAGAAAAAACATGCATTGTAGTATTTAATAATACAATTTTCAGTTAAAAGTCTAGCAACGTGGAATATATTCTAGCAATGTGAAAATCTAAGTGTGTGATCTTCGGATGTCACTTTGAATACAGAGCGATGTCAAAGTTAATGGCTGAAATTCAGTGATATCTCTTAAATGAACAAGATTTATCAAGTTGAAAATGTGTCTGCAGAGCTCAGAATACATTTGTGCACCTAGAAAATTATGCTTTAATAACTTGTTCAAACATCCTGCTCGGGTAGCTTCCAGCCATTGGAGAAGTCTTTACTTTGACTCACGGAGTGCAGGTCAATCTCAAATACAGAATCTTAAAGATGAGAGAGGAGTGGCATTTAAACGCGGTGGGTTGTGCTGAGTTGAGGTGGTGATCTTGGCTGACTTAGAGGCCGTATCTAGGAGCGTTCCCATGAGCTTGCCTAAGTGAACGTTCTCGCCACATAAAGCCTTACCCTGTTTCTGATGCTCTCTGGGTAGAGTGCATCTACAGTAGCTCCCTCAAACAGCGACAGGAGACATTCCTGTTTGCAAGACCAGGATTGCAGAGTTGCTGTGCTGGCCTGTGGCACAGCGCTGGCCAGTATCAGGTCGTGTTCTCCCAGACAGCTCAGCTCCCGGGGGTGGTTGGGATGGTGACACACATCTGACATGCTGTTGGCGTGGTGGGGCTTTCCTGTTGTCAAGCTTTAATGGTGAGGGCGTGGATTATCCCATGGCAGTCGTCTTAAGCACCTAGAAATGTTTGTGGGCATTTTTAACTTAAAACTTCTGTGGTAGAAAAAAAAGGAAGGGCATAAACTACTGAAAACTCTTATGACTAAAGTTAAAATACTCAGACATCTGAGTTGCTTCGTTTTAAAAGTTTGCATGAGTTATACTTCATCTTTGTTTTCTGGGGTTTTTTCTTGGCAAAGATCACCAGAAAAAAAAAACACATGTAGCTTGCACTAGCCATTATTGCTCTTCCTCCTTCCCTCCCTAGCAGTTTCTTAATTTTTGCCACTAAAATGCTGATTTGGAAATAGGAGGAAATCAGAAATCTGATTCAGAAAACCTTTTTTTTTCCCCCTTTATTCATAAACAGTTTTTAAGACAATGTAGCATGGTTTCTATGATCTCTCTTCAAGCTACTCTGAATGAGAAGGGCTGTGTCAAACAAAGTTCCTTTCTCTCACCCATTAACCATTTCATTACATGCTTTGGAGAAAGCATTTGAGAAACATGGCCTGGTGAAACTTTCTGTAGGATTTTATTATCTTAAGGTAATTTGCAGATTAGGTTCCTCCTAAATTGTGTTGCACTGTGTCTGCAGGTCTAAAAAGTCACCTGTAAATTTGAGTAATCCCTTTTCAGCTTGTCTGTCAGTGTTCGAGTCCTGCTCGTGTACATCCAGCTGATATTCTCGATGACTGCTGACATGAACTTAACAGACGCTGCGTAGGGCTTTTATTGCTGTTCACAAAAGGGATGAGGCAGTCCTTCCTTTGGAGCAGAGCTTCCAACATACCTTCCTCTCATAATAGGGCAGAAAAAGTGTTCTGGAGGCTGGGTGTATAGGTATAGCTCAGTATCAGAAGCAATCCCATCACCTCGACAAATGTGATTGGGGGGGGGAAAAAACCCCTTTTGTTTAAAAAGTTAAATTCTTTGTTTTGAGGAATTTAAGATTTTTTTTAAAAGTAATTCCATTCTTCAGATCACTTCTCCTAACCTGAAGTTCCAAACTCCAAGTCTAGTCATGTTTTCCAGCATTGCTGCTTGAAAGGTTTGTATTGCACCAAGCAGCAGGTACAATGAACAACTGACTCCAGCTATGCAGGAAAAATCAAACCTAATTTTTCAGTGGATTTTGGAGGTGTGGTGGGAAGAAAGAACAACAAAGATGCAGGTAGACAATGAAGAGCATATAACATTCTGATGAAGAATTATAAAATTTAGAGCTTCTATAATAACCCTGTCAGTTTTGGAATATTTCAAACCTGACATTCAACCAGGCCATGTACCGTAACTGGAGTTTGTAAGATAACTGAATTTTATAAGATATTACTGGTCAGTCTCACTCGTTGGAAAAGGAAGTTTTAAGTGACAGAGTGGTTAGTGATAAGTGTAACGTTAAGTACAGCAAGTCTCTGTAATTTCATGGAAATACAAGCTATGGTTGCATCTCATGTTTACTCTGTTTCCCTGGTGCCAGTAATAACTTGTAGAATTTGTCAGAGCCCACTTATGTGGGTACACACAAATAAGGAAACAGGTAAACTTGCCTTTTTTTTTTTTAACTTCTAAAGGTTTTTGGGTTTTTTTAATTCTAAGGACAAATAATCCTCCTTTCAACTGAGCTGTTTCATTTTTGTGAAAATGAATTTCACCTAGCTGTTACTAACACCACTTTACTTCACATACTTGTTCTGTAGGCAGCTCTTACAGACAATCTCACATTAATATCTTCTTGTGGACATTACTAAAGCAACGTCAGTTTCACTTCACCAAGTGACATCTTCCACCTGTGGTTCTGTTAATAATATTAAAAATATTTTATTCCTTGGAAAACTATGAATTGAAGAGCTTTGCTTTCATGTGACTGCTGTCAGTTTTAAATAGAATGGCCAGTAACTTTCTATTTTCTGTTCCTGACAGATTCTCCTTCCCCAACTGCTGCAAGAACACTGACGCTGGTCGCCAAGTCTGTGCAGAATTTAGCAAATCTGGTTGAATTTGGAGCTAAGGTGAATATAATTTTATACAGACAGAACAGCCTAGAACTACCATTCCAGTACATTTCAATGTTGGAATAGTCTGGTCAAATTGGGAAAAGGAGCCATAATAATAATTTGAGAGGAAGTGATCTAGAAACTCACATCAAAGAGCTGGTGCATGCCGTGAAGGTTTGGAATCTGGTAGAAGGAAAACCACCAATGGTCTGTTAAAGTAATTGATGAACAAGTGGCTGTACCAGTGAGTCTTAATTACATATTATGTGATGCAACCATACATTGATGCTGTAGGAACACGGATAAACTCATTGGGCATTTGTTCCAAACAGAACCGTGGAGGTATGTGGAGTGTTTTTATTTCCAGCCATCCCACCACAACAAAAGTGACCATAATGGTAAAATGGGCACATCTTCTTTTGCAATATCCATATCAAAAAGGCAGCTAGGATTGCTAGAACGGGAGTCTGTGATGGGAAAGAATCAGAAGAATAAATACTTTGCCTTAAATAGATGATGGGAGCTTTTTTTGCATTTCTGTTGATGATCTGATGTCAGAGGAGAGGCATCTTTCTGTAATATTGGTGTGCTTTTTCAGTACACAACCCTGAAATGCATTCCACACACATGTTCTATTTATATATAGTAATTAACTTTCAGATTGAGACTAATCAGGCCTAAATTCCCAGTTTGGTATAGATTATCCAATACTAAAAGAAATGAAGAACGGGCAAACTCTGACTCTTCCCCCTCCCCCACTTTCACCCTGCATTTACTTACTTTTTAGATTGATGTTTTCTATGGTCAAGAAATTCAAGGCACCTCCTCTCTTTGTTCTCACTTGCATTTTGCTAGACATAACGAACGTTATAAATCAAACGTACATATTTCACTGAAAAGCCCCAGATTCCTGTAAAATTTCTATTATAACAGCACAAGAATGCCAGCAACAACTGGTCTGTCTCAGTTCCCAGGCCAAAACATGGTTGAACAATAAATCTGTTTACTTAAGCATAATGGAAGAGGCTTCAGGCTGGCGTTAGGAAGTTATCTCTGTGGCACACACAACTTGGAGTGTCAGTGTTAATGAGAGAACGAGGGTGCTCATTGCTGATCTGCTTTGAAAGTTGAGCATTCGCTCATTCATCTTAATGCAAAATCACCTCAGTATGCATGCCTAAAAAAATTCCTGATTCAGATTCTGAATATAAGAAAATAACCAAATTCTGTCATCTTTTGACTGGCTGGACGCCAGATGTTAGACACTCACTTGGAAAAATAAAAGCGCTTGAGATGAGACACTTGTTTTTCAGTGTCATCTGTCTCGACTGCACTGTGTTCACTTCAGGTTTGACAATTATCTTGGCATTGATTTGTTCTAATGAATACTTTTAAAAATTACTAGGAGCCATATATGGAAGGGGTAAATCCATTCATCAAGAGCAACAAACATCGCATGATCATGTTCTTGGATGAACTCGGGGTAAGTGGTTAACAGAATCTTCACTGGAAGTGACAAAGCAATGTTGTAAACGAAAATTCATTACATTTAGCTAAAAAAATGCATCAACTCCCACGCAATTTTGAGTGCTTGCAGCTGAAGAGATTTTTCTTACACATCTTTAGAAACTGCAGGTTGCTGGGCTGTCATACGGAATTTAAACCACCACGTGTTATTTTAGATTTTATTAATTTAGTGCCTCTGTCACTGTGAGAAACTCTTACGTGTAATTTGTCACACGGTTTTTGACCAGAGATTGAAATTATTTTTTGCTTTAAAAAATACCAGGTTGAATTTCCAGTTATGCATTGCCAAATGTGTCACTGAATGCATTTGAGATACTGTCATTTGAAAGTGAATTGCAGTTACTGTATTCTTTTAAACTGTTGCTGTTTGGTGTACGATAGCTGTAACAGGAGGTAGGTCTTCATGTTATATTATATTATTATATACCAAGAATTTATTTTAAAAACTGAGATTGAAAAAAATGTGCCAACTTTCCTGAATTGGTCTCTTAAAAATGATTTAGAAGGTACCTCAGAATATTTTGATCAGATATAAAAATGAGTGAGGCATTCAGGTAGGTTGCCATATGTCATCTTTTTCTGGTTAAATTGCAACTTTTGCATATTATGATACATCAGTTTTCTTTAAATGACAGATTTTGCATGAGGTTCTCTGAAAACTGTTGGGTTTTCTTAAAAATAACCGTTGGATTAATCTACTGTTTTAATTACAACATTACTATTTTATGAGCAGTGTAATGAGATTTTGCTGAATTTTTGTTGCTGCTGTTCTCTCATTTAGATGTGAGGAGGGAATAAAAAAGTACCTAATGGATGGATTCCCCCTCATTTCAGGGAAGGTTATGAGTCTCTATATGCAGTAGCTTTCTGGTCAGCTCAGTGGTAGTGCAGCAATAGCAGAGTTTTTAGTAAGAACCCTTCTAGCAGGAGCAGGAATTGCAGTATACTCATAAAACACATAAATTGTAATAGAAGGATGGGCTGGAGGCTTAGCTGGGAAAACCAACATTGCCGTGTAAAACAATTGTGTCTGCAGAGCCGGTAAAGCTGCAGTTTATCTTCCTGTGTGCCCGGGTACTCAGCATCTTAAATCTGCTCTTATCTTTTGTTTGTTGAAGAATGTTCCTGAGCTTCCAGACACTACAGAGCACTCTAGAACTGACCTGTCTCGTGACCTGGCAGCCTTGCACGAGATTTGCGTGGCACACTCAGACGAGCTGCGGACGCTCAGTAACGAGCGAGGGGTAATGCAGGTGAGCGACAAAGGCGAACACACCCATCCCAGGTGCAGACAGTACCTCTGGGGTTACTCCCTCACATCAGGATTCTTCTGTAGCATTCCTGGCTAGCAGTATGACTGATAAACATTTTAAAATATGGGCATGTCACTGGGAGGCTACTAGCTGTAAAGGTAAATACTTTTAGTCCATAGTTCTGTTTCTTCATGCAACAAAACCAGAGAGGGGTTGTTTTTTGGGGTTTTTTTGAAAGTTTCCAGAGGAAGTTTTAGTTTCTAGAGGAACCCCAAACCCACAAAATGACTGTCTCCTGACAGGCTCTCTGGGTCCTTAGTTTTAGGATCTTGTTGTTGGGTTTTTTTCGGGTGAGAACTAAATTTACTTTCATTAGTTTTCTATTGATACCTCATTTCTGCTTCCTGACTGGCCAGCACAGTTGTAAATGAACACAGCAAACTGTTTTCTAGCAAATCCCAACAGTGTGTTAGCAGTACACTGCGTTGTTAAAACCTCCCTGTAAAAACCACAAGGCAGCAAAACGATCCACGGGTGGAGAGGCAAAGTTCATAATCCTCTTTTAGACTTCTCTTTTGAAGGTAATGTCTTACTGACCAGGCAATCAGCTGTTTCCTCTTTTCTTTCTGGGGTTTTTTGTGGTGTGTTTGGGGGGTTTTTTTGTTTGTTTTAATATATTTTAAACTATCTAGTAGCAGGTCTGATAGACCAATGCTAAAAATGCTTCTTCTCAAGCAAGACCGTTTTGTTTCCAGTCGCTAATGTCTGTTTTTTTACTGACTCTCTCTCTTACAGCACGTTCTTAAGAAGCTTTTGGCTATTACTGAACTGCTTCAACAAAAACAAAACCAGTATTCAGTGTCTAATAACATCAGGTAGCAGCCCTCTACGTTGAATTCTGCATGGATCCAGCATGCCCAACACGGCAACTTTACACCAGTATCACTTTTTCTTCTTGCTCTTGCCAAAAATAGCACACCCTGTCACATTCCCAGTGATGTGTGAACTATGCAAAAAGAAAACAAAGATTCTGTTGGTGAATGATTGTACCAGCAGCTTTTTAAGCTATCTGTGCAGGACATTTGCACTTTTTGGGGGTATTTTTTTTTTTTTCCACTTGGAAACAGTTTTCACAACCTCTGAGCCTTGGTGTACAGTTCACCTTCCACAAAGAAAAATGCTGTGACTGTGTCTTGGAACTTTGAACATTAATTTTCAGCACCTCTGATTGCCAAAGTTTCGGCTGTCTCGTTGGAAAAGAATCATCAACTGACATGAAATGCGTTGTTTTGACAGCTGCCTATAACTGGATAACATTTCTTACTGTAATTTCTGACTGGTTACAATAATTACGACTTTTGACTGTTTCAACCACTTTTAACTTGTATTTACAGTTTCCAGAGTTTGATGTTATGGTAGGAACAATCTTTACTGTACACTTTTTTATACCATGCTGTTTCTCTTGCTGGAATCATGTTGAAAGAGAATATGCAGAATGGGTCTTGTCAGCTTTATTTTTTTCTTTGATGTGCCACTGATTCAGTCTGAATAGTTCTTCCATCAAGAACTGCATAGTCAGATAAATCACGATGCTTTTGTAAAATGTTTACAAACAGTAAATAATTTGAATTCAGTAAATTTATTGATCATTG